GGGGGAGGCCCAGGGGCCTGGACTCTGGGAGGCCCCAGCTCTCCCCCTCCCAGCCCGCCCCCGCCCCCTGCGGAGAGGATAGGGAGGGTAGAGCTGTGGGAGGTTCGCTGGTTTAAAAATACACAGAGGAAGCGGGTGAGAGGGTGAGAAAGGGGAAGGGGAGGTGAGGAGGCAAGTCGATGTCCAGAGCCTCGAGCCGACTCTTGCCCGCAGGCCAGCAGCACTGCCCGGCTGGACAAGATGACCGAGAAGCCCAAGAAGGCCGGCAAGAAGTTCAGTGAGTGCACTGTCCGCATCCCGCTGCCGGCCTGACACCTCAGCTTCTCTCTGCATCTGCTCTTTATGACCCTGTCTCCTTCCTGTTTCTCTTTTGGTCCATGTCTGTCTCTCTCCGGAGGTCTCTGCTTCTGGGTTTCCATGTCACCCTCTCTCCATCACTCTGGGCCACTGTCTCTCTCTCTCTCTCTCTGGCCCGTTTGGCTCTCCATCTCTGTGCTTCTGTGTATCAGCCTCTCCACTCATCTGCGGGTCCATGGAGCCCGGGAAGACCGCTACACACTCCATCTCTGTGCCTAGTCCTCATGGGGTCTCAGGTGGGGTGTTACTGGGACAGGGCAGGGATGTGTGTGTGTGCCATGGGAGGCTGTCCCATGTCCCCTCCAGCAGGGACACTGGGACCCAGAGCAACTCAAAAAGGGCCACACCCACCCATGGCTGCTTCCCCAAGTCAGTCCCTTCCTGGTCCCAGCAGACTTCTGCCTGCCTGGGCCCTGGTTTCTTTGATCTGACAGCACCGTGTGTGTGTGTGTGTGTGTGTGTGTATGTGTGTGTGTGTGTGTGTGTGTGTGTGTGTGTGTGTGTGTCCAGGGCTAGGCTTATGGCTGCATCCCACGATGAAGAGCCTGAGACCCAGAGAATTGCCTGAGATCGTACAGGGCTATAGACCAGGGCTCAATCTCATGTGCCTGGACTGGGCCTCAGTTTCCTCCTCGCCCCACTACTGTTTCCTCCAGATCCCAAAGCACTGACCCTTGTCCAGGCTCAGCCTGGCTGTGTGACCCTGGGCAGGTCCCTTGCCCTCTCTGGGCCTCAGTTTCCACTCTCGTCAATTGGAGGCACCTTACCTATCTGCCAGCGTGCTTGTGAGGACCTGAGGAGGCAGAGGATGCTGAGGAAGTGGAAAATGCTAGAGTTTTTTCCTTTTTACCTATCTGGAGGCCTAGGGACTCAGATGGTGGTGGCTGTGAGAAGGGGCAGCCCCACCGCTGGGGACCGGAAGGTGCAGGAATTCTAGCCTCTGGGGCAAAGGAAAACAAGCATTAGCATCAGTAAGGTGAAATGGTATCACCCGAGCACGGAGCACTGCCGCCTGGGTTAGAACCCAGGGCTCAGCTGACAGGAAGGAGAGGACCACAGGGACTGGGACCCTCAGGCTCTTGACAATCCCTTTCTCGTTTCTCCCCGCCCCAGGTGCATAAACACCCACCCCCGCCATGCCCCAACACACACGTGCACACGCCCACACACACGCAACTTCACCTGCAGGCTGTGTAGCCCAGGGGGTTCATTTCACGTCTCTGAACCTCCGTTTCCTCATCTGGAAAATGGGGGATTAGCCTGTGCAGGGAGTCGTGCTGAGAATTCAGTGAGGTCATGCGTGCTGCACGTTTGACAAGTGCCGAGGCTTTATCGTGATCAGCGGCATCACCATCACCATCATGACCGGCTCCTCCATTTTCTTTCTCCTTCATTACTTCTTGAGGATGTTTGTGTGCCAGGCCCCATGGTAAGCATGTCACTGACATGCTTTCCTTCAATCCTCCCAATGACCAGAGGAGGTGGGTGTCATAATCTCCATTTTGCTGATGTGGAGAATGGAGCTCAGAGAGGTCAAGTGACTTGACGAAGGTTGCACAGCCAGGATGCAGAAGAGCAGGGATTCCAGCCTGGGGCTGTGTGGCTCCAAAGCTGCCAAGTTATTACCATAATAATCAGAGGAGGTGTCGGTGAGGCCTGCCCTCTGAGCCCTCAGTGAGTCAAACAGCATGTACCTAGAATCTATTATCATCGTTGTTAACCCCTTTCCCTTCTCCTCCCCCTGCCAGAGTTCTTCAAGTTCAAGGGCTTTGGGAGCCTCTCCAATCTCCCCCGGTCCTTCACTCTGAGGCGGTCCTTGGCTCACATCTCTATCCGACCGAATCTAAAGCCTGAAATCTTTGAGGCCACGCAGGACGACATGGTGACGGTCCCCAAGAGTCCCCCGGCGTATGCCCGTTCCAGCGACATGTACAGCCACATGGGCACCATGCCTCGGCCCAGTATCAAGAAGTCTCAGAACCGACAGGCTGCCCTGGAGAACGAAGAGGTGGGCCCTGAGCCCCACCTGGTGCCCCGAGGCCTGCCTGACCCCCCAGGCATGGAGGCGGCCCAAGAGAAGGTGGTGGAGACCGAAGCCCCCCTGGAGGACACAGAGGGGAAACCCAACCCGTCAGCCGAGGAGGCGAGCCCCACGAAGGAGCCTGAGGACCCCAGGGTAGACACAGAAGAGGAGACAGTCCCCAGGAATGTGCCCCCAGAAAGGTAGGTGCCCACCAGGGGAAGGTGAGGGCAGGACCTGCAGGGATGGAGTTTCCAGTCTCCTGCTAATAGCGCCTGGAGAGGACCTCCCCCCCACACACACATCTAAGTAAACATGCCTTAACCAGTGCCTGCTATAAACCAGGCACTATGCCTAGCCCTTCACTTGCAATTACTTTTCAAGGAAAAAACAAAACAAACTGGGGAGGAGATACCGTTACGTACATTTGAGGAAACAGATTCAGAGATGGAGTCATCTGCTCCACTCAGGTTGCATATCTAACAAATGACAGCGTCAGGGTTTGGACTAAGACCCACCTGACTCCAAAGCCCCAGGCAACCTCCAGCACGGGCTCCGCTGCTGGCTGGACTCCCAGCCTGATGGCTGGACCCTGCCCAGGGCCCTCACCCAGAAATCAGCACCCTTACTTCTGCTGGACAACACTGCTTCACCTGCTCTAGAAAATATTTGTCATTTAACTTGGTTATAGGGTGAATCGAGTTCATGCAAAAATACAAAGAGTGATGATACGGTCATAGCTCCCATATAGTAAGCACCCATTTTACTGGCTGTCAAAGCAAAGGTCATTCACGGAAAACTAAAGAATCTATGATCAGCCCCATTTTACAGATGGGGAAACTGAGACTCAGCCAAGGTTGCAGAGCTGGGATTTGAACAGGAAATGGCTTGCTTCCAGGGGTTGCACACTCATCCAGCCCGTTTTACCTACCACTTTCTAAACCCTGCAGCCATGTACTTCATGCCCTTGGGAGACCCTCCTCAATCCCAACGAAAGGAACCTTTTCTACCTTAAGAGCCTTTGTGTAATCACAGGGATCAGATGTGCCCGTTTCAATAAAGAGAAAAAACAAATCACTGAGCAAAGGAACTCTAGGGCTGGTGCTGGGACCTTTCTTGAGTGGCTTTGCCCTGAGACAAAAAAGCACAAAAGACAAAAAAGCTTCTGTGTGCTAAGAGATCAGAACACAGACCCACCCCCTTCAATGGGGGGAGCAGGACTCTGTAAATCTGCAGAGTGAATCCAGTCCAGACTCTGCCTCTGACTGACTGCGTGCTGTTGGACACGTCTGTTCCCTTTTCTGGACCTCAGTTTTCTCATCTGATAAATGGGCATAACGATAGCACCGACCATGTAGCGTTGTGGTGATAATTCAAGAATAATATACTTATTAAATCTTAGCACAGTGCCTGGCACACCACAAACAATAAATGGGAATTCTTACATATATGATGCATAAAATGAATGCTTTCCACCATCCCTGGCTGCCCCACGATCCGGAATGCCCTGCCATTCCCTCCTAAATTCAGCCTCATTCGGACGTGGAGGAGCAAGGATTGCATGGCGGGGCGGGGCGGGGCGCCCCAAGTCTGAGATGCACATTGGAAGTTTGAGAGAGCGGGACTGGCGGGTGGAGGAGCGTGGCCTTTCCACACTGCACCCGGATAGTTGGGGAAGTGGGGGTTGGAGAGGGGAGGGGCGAGGCGGGGAGTGGGTGTGTGTGTCAGGAGGCGTGGCTTTCTCAGCCCCGGACGCTGACGGACGGGGGGAGAGGGCGGGGCGATTCAGGAGGCGGAGGGGCGTGTCCAAGCGGGGCGTGTTCTTTCAGCCG